CTAATGCTCCGCGTCTCCCTGACTTCTAAGCATGGCAGTCAATCTTGAATACACGATACCCTTCGCGCAAGGTTCAATCACGAAACTCGGGTTGCCGAGATCATCCCTGTCACGCGTACACTCTCTTCTCTAGCCACGTCGCTATCGGATGGCCCCTCGCTCATCTCTCCCTGGAATGCTCACCTTACCGCTAGAACTCGTCGGGGAGATCATCTCGTTCCTTTCCCCGACGGATCTGCGATCCCTCGTCCAAGTCTGTGCCACCCTTCGGGCACTCGCGACCTTGCCACTGCTCTGCGCCTATGGAATTTCGCCGTCGCAGATCCACTCTGGCTCGGTCTGCGTCGCGGACGGCGTATACTTCCTAATCCCCATGATATACAACATCCACCCGATCCAGAAACTGCAGATTCTGCCGCTATTTCCGCTCAGGGTTCTCGCCGATGTTTTGGACACCCTTCCACCAATCCCGGACGTTCTCGTATCTGGCCGGCTCATCCGCGAAGATCTGGGTGTACGCAGGGTCATTGCAGCCTCGTTCCGTGCTGTAGATGGGCCTGCGATAGTTGTGAACGAAGGCCGGTTTTGGGCAATTCACGGGGCACAATCCCACTCTCGCCCCGTGCAATCCTTGGTGGGGTGGAACGCCCGACCTCGTACCGCTTTCGCCAACCGAGATTTCCTCTCGGTTCTGATCCTCAACATGCCGTTCGTACTCATGTCGATAATCTCGACTGTTTACCACCTTGTCCTCGACATTCTCGCGCCGGAGGATCGCAAATTGCGCATACCAACACACCTTCCCAACTCCATGTCCACCCGGTCCACCGCAATGCACATACAAATCGTCTCCGTTCCTGGCGGTGGGCAACTTCTCCTCGTGCTTTTTTCCTCTGACACGCGGACGCGCCTCTCCATTCCCCGCCTCCCCGGGATATCACCAGCACAGATGACCGCCGTCCTTGCTGCCCTGCAGATCGAGGATCGAATGCCGTCGCTCACAGTAACGACGAACGCCGCAATCAAACCTCATGCGCTGTTGGACTTCGTCCGACGACATCCCTCCCTCCGTGAGGTCACGCTCGAACCAGGGGCATTATCACTAATCCCCGCCTCACCTAACGAGACATCTCTTATAGACGCAGGATCTTGGGTGCAATCCGTCTGCGCGCCCGCCGAATATATCCCGCACATCCTCCCCATCGTGCGCTACCTCGAGGAGTTCACCATCACCTTCCTATACCCCGCACACCTTGCATCCGCCCTCGCGAATCTCACCGCCACCCATCTTAATCTCCAGACGCTGACGCTGAACTTCGGCCGCCCCTCTGCGCACGCGCCGATGCCGTGGCACTCAGCACCGCATCCCATCGCCGTCGTCGCGGGAGAAGGAGGGATGCAGACGCTCCCGAGCGTCCGGTATCTCGACCTCGTCGGTGAATTCGACGGCTACAGCCACGCTCAAGTCGACGTGACGGGCCTGCCGCTCTGGCTTGCGCGCTTCCCTGCGCTGGTGCGGCTGCAGCTCTGGGGGAGGTGGGTGCGTCTGGAGGAGGAGGAGCACCTCGTGTGTGCGATCAACGGCGCACGAGCTCGGTCCAAGCACAACGACGCGTGGGAGGGTGTTCTGTTTCTTTGAAGCGATCTGAGCAGGTGAAGCTGGATCTTAATCTTGTTCGGTCGACTGACTCAATTGACAGGCGCTAGAACCGCGCTTGAGCCGCATGCGCAATCCGGGGTGCCACGCTCAACATTCCGGGATTCCCATAATCCCCTGCGTCACGTCTAAGGAACGGTACAACGACGTTAACCCGAATGAACCGAGTCACGATAGCCAGGATACTGCTCGAGCATCGACGAGTCGACTCTCGCGAGTTCCGGGCACGTCACCACCGCCAAAATATCCCCCAACGCACCAATCACTCGATCCAGCAATTCCAGCACGATACCCTCCAGCCCGACGAGTCCGAGCGGTAGCAGCAGCTGCGTCGCCTGCAACAAGAAGCACGCGGCGTTGTTTCCCTCGAGGAGTGACGCCGCACTGTAGACCCCGTTGCTGAATGCACCGACATCGAGCGGGGCGAAAGTGTTCGGGCCGTTGGTGTTCCCGCCGAAGAGTACTGTTTCGGGGTAACGGACCGCCATGGAAGCGAGATCGTCGATGAGGTCGAGGGCGCTGTAGGGAGCATCGAGCGGTCGGCGGTACCAGTCGTCTGGGATTCGCTCGGCGCCCCGGTGGTAGACGAAGGCGCCAGTGGGCCTGGTGATCCCGTAGAAGGATTTGAGGACGTCGTTGGAGAGGATACCATCTGGGTTCTCGGTGGAGTGGTTGGACATCATTGCGTACACGAGGCAGTTGGTGAGGGATGAAAACACCTGGTGAACGTTAGTATCCCAGATAATGTCGGTGTGCGGAGACATGTAAGTAGTAGAGGCGGCGAACCATCTGCAAAGGACCTAGGAAACACCGAGGGTTCTGTTGTTTGCAGTCGCGTATTCGTTGCACGCGGTGCGCGAACATTATATCTCTGTTATAATTCGCTGTTGGTGATTCGCCTTGTCTGTGATACAGACCCACGAAGGCGGGCATCTGCAGGTCATAGCCGTTTATGCTAAGGAAATTCTCAGGTGGCTTCATCGGGGGTCGGAATAAATATACCCACTCGAATTGAAAGAAATCTCCACGCGTTGGGGACGCATCGGCCTCAAACTGATTGTGTGTATAGGAGAGCCCCTGCGGTGGTCCTGGGGACGGTGGGTATTAGTCAATTCAATTCAGTTAAGGAACGGGTTCCAACCGAAAAGACCGAGGGCCCCCAAAAGCCCGCCGATAAGTCCAAACGGAGGTGGGCCGCCGATTGAATACGAGAAGCTCAAATCGGCCAGTTTTCCGGCGTATAATGCACCGAGGAGTCCTGCGGCAGTAGCTACAACGGGTGACATCGCAAAGACTGTAAAATTCTAAGCGTGCTGGTAGAATGAGGACCCAGGGAACAAACCAGTCATGGAGGCAGCGATCGAGTTCTCCAGCGTCACAATGCCGTCGTGCGGGATAAAATTATGGTTCGCGAGGGCGTTGAGGCCGGGGCAGGGTCCGCGCATGTCATGTGGGCCGGGAGGGACGTACTTGTGCGCGCCAGTGACGTCGATGTGCTGTGCCACACTGTCGAACCCAGAAGCTCGACGGTGGGCATCCTTGACGGCGGAGGCTGGGAAGGCTGCAAAGCTGGCGAGAAGGACAAGAGGCGTGAGTGGGAAGAGCATCAGTGGAGCGGCCTGTCCCACACGCGCATATAAGTAGTTCGAGCGAGATGAGAGGTAGAATGACAGGATGCTGAAGGCTGCTACTCGCAACAAGGAGATCGGAGGCCCGCGAAAGGTATATTTCCTTTCACAGGGGCGCGTGGCAGATTCATTTCGGGCAGCTGCCTGGCGAAGAGTGTAAGTCCGCAGTTAGACCGCATTTTAGGCTAGAAGACGTACACATCGTATCGAATCGTGGGTTGAGCTTGGTTAGCAAGTCGGGGAGCCCGGCCAAACGGGAATATTTCGAGGCGCATGAGTTGCAACTCCTATTAGTTGAAAGATGCGCTGCATCCGATAAAGTTTGGAGGCAGGCCTCCATCATGCTCGGGCCGAGTGGCCGGATGTCCAAAATTCAACCGTGGGAATACTCGATTCTGCCGTCGGTCTTCACTGCACAGCCAGGTGACGCCAGCTCTAGAAAGCCGGCGGGTGTGACAGGTGCTAGTGGTCTCAAGCAATGGAGACTTCCCGAAAATAGACCCGAATTGGTGTGGGGGTCACCCATTTCGGCGCCCAAATTTCCGCATTGGTGTATGGGTCAAACCTTTTAACACAGAGACGATCGCTGACACCACACCACGAGTGTGGAGTGGGAGGAAGACCAGGCGGACAGGTGGCCGTTAGAATAAAGTGCGCCACAATGTTTTTCCCACCCGAATCCGCGAGCGATCGAGGTTCGAATTGGTGCAGGGGTTAAGATTGCCGCTTCATGATCGACCCGAATTGGTGTAGGGGACAAAATTTCCGAGCGGTTGAAATTGGGTTTGGCCTTGGTCTGGAGGAGGTTTTGGTTAATTATGAGGTACAAAGCCCCCGGACGTTTTTTCAAAGCTATTTGGTGGATGCAAGTGCCGTCTCCGATCGAACGTAAGTTGACCGGAGCTTTGATTAACTTGAGGTTAGCAGACAGTATGTCGCGAGTCGACCCCGAAATTTCCAGCCTCCACCTGGAAGCTATACGGCTACTCCACCATGCATACTAATAGCGATACAGCGTCAAGTCATGCGAAAGCTCAGATTCGCACCGCGGCGATCTGTGTTCGGCTCGCCACCAGTATCAATTCACCAAGTCCCTCCGGGAGCGAATTCAGGTGTATTCCGAAGAGTCCACAGGGTCTGGGGTGTGTATCTGCATCTAATATTGGCGGAATATACTGACAAAAATGACGATTTTGGAACTCCCCGTTACAAAGAAAAATTGCCAAAAAATTACTGGGTGTCACGGGGGACACCTAGAAGGGCCAGACCTACACATCGATAGACAGACTGCTGACAGAACGAGATGAGGGGGTGGGGTGCGGTTGGTATTGTCAAAGCATTGCCACGAATGCAAGTCATTAAGCTAGGTTTGTTTACCCAGGTTTGAACCCAACAAAGATCGACTCAGTGAGAGCCATGTGCACAATATGTCTTCGGAAACAAATGCCCTGGTGTACTAGAGATGTGTGTGCATGCCCGTCACCTTGGAGCTGGTCTTTCGAGGTCGGTTTGTAGGAGGTACATCAAATATAATGACTGGGTTGCAGTCCTTGGTTTAGGAAATAAAACAATCATCTGGAGAAAGGATCGAGTCCCCAGGCGAGAAGCCATATGGGTAGGAAGGTAGACGGAGAGCGGGGGAACCAGTAGAGGGCAAAAGAAAAAAAGCTATAGGGAAAAGTCGCCGCCGTAGGCCAAAAGGAAGAGCAGCAAAATTCCGAATCGGGGAATCGAACCCCGGGCTGCCGCGTTCCAGATTACGTTAAACCACAAGCTCATGTGACGCTGAGAGGCGGCAATGTTAACCCCTACACCAATTCGGACATATTCGAGCTGCAGAACAACGGGACAGGTCGGGGAATGCAAGTTTTGCGAAAGGAAACGAATGAACCGTTGTAGAGTTGGAACGGAGTTGGGGATTTCGTTGGAGTACAAGAAGTTGAAAATGAACTGTAGTCTACCCTGGCATGCCCAATTTCACCCGCTAACACTGTCCATCTCGGGAGTTTGACGGTAATCAAGTTTCTTGGTTGTGTAAGGGCAACCTCGAGGCCCGAGAATACTCAAGAGTCCTAGCGAGGGGAATCCAAAGTATATTAATAATGTACACTAGAATACAGGAAAGCATAACGCACCTAGCGAGGGGAATCCAAAGAGAAGAAACTCTGAGGATTCCCACGCTAGGTCGGGACTCTAAATACGTACTATACAGGCACATGTGACCGGAGTGATCGGCAGAGATCCCGGGCTCGGTCACAAGCGGAATGCCAACGGGAGATACCGGAGGGCTTAAAGGGGCGTCGGGAGGGGGTTCCCCTGACATCATCCCCCCCTTGGAATGCGGCGCCTCGACGCATAGACCGGACGTGGAGGGCAGGGTCGCGGAAGGGGAGAGAGTCGAAGGCTGCGACTGAGATGGACCGTGGAGCGGTTGGATGAGTACGATAATACTCCGCAACGGCTTCCGGAGCAAAGACATCGGAATGTTTGACCCACTGATTGTGTGAAGCGTTGTACCCTTTGAAAGACACCATATAATATAATGGCTTCCATCGGATCTTAGCATCCAAAATCTTGTCGATCTCCCATTCCGGGGCATCCCCAGGCTGCTCTGGGAGGACTGGAGCAGGCTCGTCATAGCCCGGACGTCCCGGAAACGGGTCGTCCTCTGCCAGCTGCAACTTCACCACGGGGAAGACAGGGTGGAGGCGTGAGAGTCGAGGCGGGAGTTCCAGCTTGTAGGCGCCTCGACCGACAACCTTAACCACCTTAAAGGGGCCAAGGCGCCGGTGCGAGAGGCCCTGCGATGGACGAGTGGTCATGATGTCCGATGCGTCAAGCCAGACACGGTCACCAACCTTGATGTCCGGCGCTGGGGTGCGCCGGCGGTCATAGTACTGCTTGTATTCCTCCTTGGCCTTCACCAGCGCAGCTTTGGCTTCCGAGACACCTGAGGCAATCCGATCGCGGAATTCGTTTGCTGCCTCCACCTTCGAGCGTACCCCAGTGGGCTCAAACCCCATGCGAGGGAGCCGACCGGTATCGGTCATGAACGGGACCTGCTGCGTTGAAGAGTGGATGTGGTTGTTGTAAGCGAACTCCGCGGCTGGCAAGAGATAGTCCCAGTCATCCTGCTTATAATTGGTGAATATGCGCAGGAACTGCTCCATCTCTTGGTTAACGCGCTCAGTCTGACCGTCAGTCTGTGGGTGATACGCCGTAGAGGTGGCTGGGGTGATTCCGATGAGGCGCCAGAGCTCCGTGGTGAACTCCGCAATGAACTGCGAACCGCAATCAGAGATGTACTTCTCGGGGGTGCCGTGGTGCCTCCAGACATTGCGGTAGTACAGCCGAGCGGCGCTGATAAGCCGTGCAGAAAGCCACGTCTGAAAAGCGGGAATCTTTTCGATTTCAACTTAGCAGGTTTTGGATAGAGCACGCTCCGGAAGGGTAAAAAGCTTACCGGACGACACTCTGGAAAGCATATGCTCCCGGAAAGGCTTGAAGCGACATTGGTCCAGATGGCTAAGCAGACCCTCAACAAGTGTTTCTAGCTTCAACAAAGCTGGAGATACCACTGGAGAGCGTGTCACTGAATACTAAGTGCGCGGTTCGGAAGGACATGTAACAAGGTCCGGAAGATAGTTCAGAAGCGCCAGCCAGACCTAGCTCTCCACAGCAACAAAAGCCATGCTTCCAGAAGCCAGGCTTCCAGGAACGAGTGACCATACCATAAAATGAACCAAGTCCGAGTAGGAAACGATCACTCCGGCGAGATGGCCGAGAGGCGCATCAAAGTGAAGAAATGTCGGCAAGCATGGTTTCCGGAAGGATTGCTTCCGGAAAGACCGAGCGGCCAAAGCAACAAAGTGACAGGGGCGAGCGCAACCAGACGGGTAGCCACCCGGTGACAGCTGTACGTGCTCGGAAGTGTAACCGAGGCGGAGCCCTTTCCGACTGACAGGTTGGAAATCCGAACGAGATGCCGAGTGATGCCGAGAGTTGAACCACTCAACCCATTTCGGGAAGGACAAGTTGAACTTCGGAAAACCCGCCCAGAAACACGCAGGAAAGCTGCCACAACTGGGCTTCTGGAACGAGATAGGTACTGAGGGAAAGAGAACGCGTCCGGAAGGCGCTTTGGAGACGAAGAAAACCCCAACTCAACTGGAACCAAATGATCGAGCTCTCGGAGAGCGAACCGACTAAACCAATCGAACGGACAGTGATTGAAGGGCTGGAAGCCATAGCTACCGGCTGCATACCCGGCTGCGGACATAATATTAGTTACGAGACTCATTTCTGAACCATGTATAAAAGGACTAGTAGAGTAGAGCGTTCGGTAGCAGACGCCCCGGGACGCGGACACGGAAGTGCCAGCGGGTTCGGAAGTCCACGCTCCGAAAGCTATAACTGCCTGACACGCACTTGTACTTTCCAAAGACGATCGATTGCAATTGACACACTGTTGGATAAACCTCTGCGTTTCGAACGCTTTCGGAAGTCACTGACCTGACGCTTCGGATAAACTTGATTGACGTGACCTGATTGACCTTGTCCTGACCGACCTGACCTGATTGACCTTGATTGACCGTGTCCTGACTTGACTGGATTGACCTTGTCTTGATTGACTTGCTTCCGAGAAGCGCTCTGTCTGCATTCCCAAAACCCTGCCAGAAGCATCTTCTATTCCCAAAACCCTGCCAGAAGCATCTTCTGAAACCCCACAGGAGGATCTTGTCCGGAACCATCAAGAAGCAGCAAGTCTCTCACGCCGTCAAGTGGAAATTTTCACCGAAGAAAGGCGGCAGAAGCTGAGCACTGCCCAAATGACTGAACCTGTAGGCACCCCGGGTGCCTCGAAACCTCTAACTTCCCCATCCCCCACCCCTGACTCCCCCAGACCCAAGAAATCAGCCATTGAAACGAAGAAGCTCGAAACTTGGGGAATTACCGGTGATCAGACTGACCCCATCTACCTCCTAGGGCAGCTCAAGAAACACGTCGTTCTTCGGAATGGGCCCAAACTCGCCATAACCAAGAGCACAGAAGATGCATTCCTTGCTATAACTGACTGTCTACTCGACTCCCTCCGAGATCAATCGGCCGAAATGACCCGACTAACCATCGCCGAAAAGGCGGCTAGATTGATTGAAACCGCCCACCTGGAAAACATCGCAAAGACTCTTACGACAGAGATCCACACCTCGACTAACTTCCTTGCTAACCTGTTCCAGATGTCTTCGTCCCAACCACCTCGGCAGTCCAATAATCCGTCGACATTCGCTGACGTTGTCAGGAAACCCCGCGGCAACATTATCACCAACACAACTGCCACCGACGTCGCGCGAAAATTTCAACTGACCATTAAAACTGCCCGCATCCCTGCTGACCACCCCATCATTGACGCCGACGCGGCCAAAATTGTAGATCTATTCAACGAAGCAATTGCTACGACCGTCGAAGCCAAGGATTCTAATCTGCTAACACCCATCAGAGCTCGCAGCGCCCGCCGTCTCAAAAGCGGCGATATTAGGATCCTCCTCCACTCAGCTGACGAAGCGGACCGCCTGCGCAGCGACTCTAACGAATGGCTACCCCGCCTAGCTCCCGGAGCTTGGACTCACATCCCACGGTTCAACACGGTTATTAACGGTATCCCTTCTGATTTCGATCCCTCCTCTGCAACCGCTCTTCGCTCACTGGAGGAGGAGAATACTGATGTTCTACTTCCCTTTTCCATCGAACGCGCTCGTTGGTTGCGCACCCCAAAAACTAAAGCAGGTTCAATTATTGTCGAACTCAAAGACTCGCGCAGCGCAAACCAGGCCATCGACCACGGTCTTTCGTTCAATTACTGCCATTTTACTGTTCATAAACTCACCTCGAAACCGACACAGTGCTTCAATTGCCAGGGCTACGGTCACATCGCAAAGGCCTGCAAAGAGGACACCAAGTGTGGCCTCTGCGCGGAACCCCACGCGACGAAATCTTGCCCCTCGACGCACGATCACAACTCATGCGGAGAAGGTACCTGCGCGCACGGCGAACTCAAATGTGGTAACTGCGGAGGCGCGCATGCGAGCTTCGATCGGACCTGTCCCACCCGCGCTGCCGAGCGCGAACGAGTTGACAGTTTAACAGAGAACACTGAACCCTATTTCTTTCCGTACACAGGTAACTCAACCTGGACCAACTCGGTCACGATCCCAGATGCGCCTCCGGCTGCACGGGATTAATGTCCACCATACCCGCTAACCTCAACCCGACCACCGCCTCCCCTCCATTTAGAACCATGCACCAAAATTGCCGTCGTTCGAAGACGGTCATGCAAGCACTAATGAACTCAACCGACCCAGCCGACTGGGACATCATTTGCATTACAGAGCCGTACATTTACCCCAAGCAACGATTCACGGTGGCGACTCCGAAGTGGGTAAGTTTTTACGCTGGTGGAACAGGTCGCCCCCGTTCCCTCATCCTCGTCAACAAGAATATAAAATCCGACCTCTATCAACAAATTGAGGTCGACAGCCGTAACGTTACCTCTCTTCTCTTCTCGTTCTCCCCGTCCTCTTTCCTTCAAGTATATTCTGTCTATAACCCCCCGAACTCTGACCTCACTTACGACGAACTACATCTTCACCTCCTCCTTAACCCCCCCAGGTACCCAATGCTATGGCACGGCGACTTCAACAAACACGACTTCCTCTGGGCCGGAGTCAACATCCCTGCCTCCATCTCGGCAGACGAAGCAATGGCGTTGCTAAAACTTGTCGCGGACCACGATCTAGATCTCGCACTACCCCAGGGTACCCTCACA